TCTCAAAACAAACAAAAACTCTTAATCAGCATCCGTCATAATCTGTAAGGGCCTTCCAGGATAAAGGGAGGAGTCGAAATCTTATCAAATGTTCCCAGACGAGACACGCTTAGTCGGAATAAACAAAAAGGACTCGCAGGAACGGGCACCCTCCTTATTAATTTTCATGGCACACACTCCCCCCAGCAGAGGCGACAAAAACCCCATTTTATGCAAATTCGTGTAGCGCCCCAGCATCAAAAAGTCAAAACGCTAAGAAAAACAAAATATTAATGATTTAGTCATGTATAATCCATACAAATGAAACAGCGGTGGGTGTCGTTAGGTGGGCGGCGGAAACGTCGTCCTTGAGCTTAATGTCAGTTCAGTTCGGTTCGGCTCTATCGCCGTACACAGACTTGTCCTTTCGAATTTTTAGGAAGACAATGGAACGTGACATATGCAAAAGGGTTAAGCGATTAATTTCAATTCGCAATATGGACATGTTTGGGATGCGAGGATATTTGTGTGGTTATTTCTGGGAGCTCTATTCGGCTGTTTGTGTTTTTATGCAAATAAGCGAACGCTAATAAGAATTTATGCTTCGAGTCTTACTGGCAGTCATCCTATGGCTTCAAATGGATAAGTCCTTCAGGTTTTCTGTGTGTGTTGAAAAATTGGGGACAATTTTGGCTGATTTATATTTACATATTTCTTAAAAAATTTAAAAAGTACTGTTAGGTTTTTTTGATTTATTCTTTATATTTTTGTAACCATTGACATTATTTGTATTTAAAAAACCTAAAAATTATAGGTCATTTTATTAAATGTTTAAAATAATATTTGTAATACCTTTTAAAATTAAGTGTTTGGCCTTTCCAAAGCAGATAACGGTATATAACGGTATTTGTTTTTCAAAAATACCAAAACAAAGTCAGGACATGCGCAAGGGGTTGTCTCTCGCTGAGAAGAGTGTCCGGCAGAAAGCACCCCAAAACGGCAACTGAGAGACTAGAAGAGAGGAACTAGGAAGCTAAAGGGTACAAAATACGGAAATGCGCGTCAAAAAGAAGAAGAAAGACGTTACTTTGTATTGCTCTCAGGGCGTAAGAAATGAAAAAGTTCAGTCTGTCGAACATAACGGCGGGGAACAAAAGTCGACGAAATGTTATAAATAATATGTATAAATTATTGCATTAAATCGATGTTAACCAACTAAATATAGTCGAACGTATATTTTTGTACACAAACACTTAGCAAACACCCAAAACACCAAAGTGCATTTAAACAAAATCCCAATTGTGTGAATAGTGGCCACGCGGAAAGAAAAGCAATAACCCGAAACTAAGCATAGTTTAATAATTTATAGAGCAAAAACAAGTGTTCACCCGCGAAATAAAAAAGTAAGCCAAGAAAAAATCAATGTTAAGGCATTTGCATTTGTTGTGGTTTGCGTTCGCAATTGTGCAGCTTGTTGGCTAAAAATCGAAGGCGGCCAAACAATTCGAGAGGAGCGCGTGCCAAACGCAAACGAAAGAGTCAACAGCAAGGAAAACAGAAAAAAGCAAGGGTCCTTAATAATGCAGCCGAAGCAGCTGATGGGGCTGTTGTTGTGAATCCTTAGAAGAAAAGGAGTCGGACGAAGAGCGGGAACGAAAGTGGGTGCGGAAGAGAGCCGAACTCTGGGCGAGTGTGTGGGGTGCTAGCCGTGTTCTGAGAGAGCGCGAGAGCCCACCAAGGCCGGCTTCCGTAGCACAACATGGAAGAAGAATGTGCGGGAACTTTAACTGCACCCCCAAAAGAAAATATTGGAATAATATTTTTCTGCATTGTAGAATCTACATCAACACCATGTGCAATATATTCAGACCCATCAAAATATTTTTTAAAGAAATCAATAGTAAACGTATTAAAAAATAAAAATACAATTGTATGGACCCTACTTCAAATTTCATTCCGTACGAGATACAAAAGTGATTAAAAGATTCAAAATTCTACTCAAAGCTTAAAGCAAACTGTAAAATTTTCATAAATTGTTAATTTACTGTAATTATTCTATCAATGCAACTATACTGCCACCTTCGTAATGACAACATTATTGTCATTGAAAACCATTTATGGAAAATCTCCCTCGTTGCTCACAATGCTACACAAGCCGCTTACACTAATCCCGTAAAACTTAGAGAAGGCTTGCATTACCAAGCCCCGTACCAAGGAAACCTTTTTGTCCTGGCCACCATATCCCTACTGAGTCTTCCTCAAAATGCAATAAATTTCCTTCTCACAAGCATTGGTACCTGTAGTACTGCTTGAAGCCAGTTATCAGCTCCTTTCATAACGTCTGTCATCAGGACACCGTCATGTGCACACTGGCAAGAACACCACCTGTTTTGAGGCAAACACGCTCCATAAATTGCAAGAAATTTAGACGATTTCAGCAAAGACTTCCTGGCGCCCTTACGATAAACGAAGTGACTAATGAAATTATGCACTAATTTGTGGCAGCTCCTCCTTACAGTCGTTTCGACATTTCCGCAGGATAGTGGCTGCGGCCTGGAGGGCAGGTGAGGGCGTCTTGCCAACAGGAACAGGAAACTTTTGCGCCACCATTTGACAAAATACACTCACACTGTGATTTTTGCCACACCATTGGCAGTTGCAAGCATCAAGAAAGTAGTGCACGAGAAAAACATAAATGGGTTCTAAGATTGGTTTTCACATTATATTAATGACTTGAAACTAATGTCTTTAAGTTATAATTAAAGCATTAAAGATATAATATAATTTCTTAAAAGCAGGTTTCTACCAAATTTCCTTCAAGTGTATAGTTTATACATATTCAAAAATATTAAGTAAGGAAAGGAGGTGGCAGTTCAATTTGCAATGCAAGGGAGCTCCTGCAGCATTCGGCGCAGAGATGAGCTTTCAAGTACACACTCGCATGAGGAGTTGTGTGGCAAATGGTGCGCAATCAAACGAATGCGGCCATCCTCGAAATGGGGAATCTCAAGTTAAAGGGGCAGAAGCTGCAGCTTCTTCGAAGAGGCAAGAGACTGAGTCATCTCAAGAAAGCTGCAACTCATGCAACATTTGGCCAACTTTTAATTATCGTACTTCAGCCATGGGTCGTTTTAGGACAAGACTATGGGCAGAGCATGGCTGCCAACATCGGAACTAGTTCTCAGTCAGGCTTAAAAATAAATTATGTGATTAAACATAACAGAGGGATTAGCTTTAGGCCCTTACTTGCAAAAAATACTAGCGACATTGTTTAGACATTAAGGACCATCTCTGCTTTCGAAAAACTTAAACAAATTTTGGAAATGGAAGATGAAACAACCTAGAGAACCAGTTTTCAAAGCAACCGCCCAACAAAGCTGCCGTCTGCAGCTTCCCAACTTTTAACTTAATTTTCTGAGTGGTAGAACGGCAATCATGCATGTCTGCAAACACAACTAACATAGAATGGTACGAATGTGAGTACGGAATGCACCTAACCGTATTCGAACACGCCACGCTACAGATATGTATATATATTTCGACAATTTATTCCGACTGAATCTGTCAGTTTGTGCTCTTGGCTTTTCTTAACTTTTTCCCCGCTGCTAAATGCTCTAATTACGCCTAATGGAATACCCAGACTGACACACACACATGCCCAAGCTTGTGTGGGAGTTGCACTTCCTTTGTATTTGTATCTGTGTAATTATTCGAGAATTCTTCAGATGGCTGTCTCGCTTCCTTCCACTTCCACTGCTCATGTGAATATTCATGACTTTGTTGCCTGTCCCAGAGTTTTTAGCCAATTTAAATGGGGGGCAAGTGGCCGTAACTGGACCGGGGCAGGAGGCTGCTGGGCAACCCACTTGTTCATCCTTTATCCTTTTTAGGATTGCCCCACATACGCTATTTATAAATAAGTCGTTTATTTTTTTACACCAACTGCAGCTGGTCAGAAAACAGAAAAAGAACAAAGTTAAATATGGATGTGGAAGTGGAGAATCCCCGACAGCTGACCATTCTTACCACCAAAAAGTTTAATATTTTTTTTCTTTTTTTCCTTGTTGCATATCTGCATAATTGAATTTTGTTCTAACAACTGGAATAAATATTTTATTAGACGCTATTAGAAACCAAAGCAGCGGAACTGAATTAAAAGTGCAGAGCAGTTTTCCAAAAAAGTTGTTTATGTAATGGCGTGGCTGCGATAATTAATTTTCGCAAAATTTAAATAAATCACGAAACAACTAAGCCCACGGCCACACATCAGCAGCATGATATATTTCTGCAGAATAAATTCAAATTAAACAAAACTCAAATGCAAACTCAATTCAAATAAAAACCAACTCAGCTGTAGTGAAAAAAAGTATCTCGTTTTAAAGTTTCAAAATTAAAACAATTGGCCTTTTGCATACTCATTAACGGTTTTCCACCTGCAGCAGCATCTCTACCATTAAAAAAAAAAACTAAAACATCTTGGCAAACTTTAGTTGGCCAACTATGAAAAGAACAACAACTCGGCTTTTAAGCCAAACAAATCTCGTAATTTAATCAAAGCTGCGTTCGGCATCGAGCATGTTGGGAGCTGGCCGCATCGAACGCAACTCTTATACGCTCTTGAGACCGAACTGGCGACAGTAATGCCAAGTTTTTACGAGCTGAAAAAGTGTTTAAATTATTTTCGTTAAAAAAAGGATATAAAATGATTTACATTAATTAAAAAAAATTTAATTTGTATCCCTTTTTTTAGGGAAAATTTCTGCAATGGAATTTTATTTCTATAAAACAAGTACATTTAGGAACGGTTTAGGCCGACCCGTACTACCATATTCAATTTTTAACTTTGTTTCTGACAGTATTATTTTATTGTTCATTTTAAAAATAGTCGACCCATTGCCACCAAATCCTTCCTCCCAAACCTAACTATAAGTATCACCCACACCGAGTAGGAAAAGCCAAAGTGCCATCACTGCTGGAAGCACAAAATATAACCGACTGCTGCTCTTTTGGGCCATTTGTCTCTGTAACGCCGTCTGCGTCGTCTCGGTTCTCGCTCCTCGGTGGCCCAAAGAAGTGGCAACCGATTTTTGGTGGCAAGCGCGGCTGCCACGGGCGGCGTCTGAATTCAAAATCCAAATTCGTGCTAGCACGTTAGCAACAGTCGCTATAATCGACAAAACGGTAAATGCAATAATGAGCACAAGTGAATGGCGAACGGCGCAGCGATGAAACAATTCAGATAATAGCATGGCCAAGTAAACGGTGCAGAAGACATCGCGATTATTGCCGGCCAATTGTGGTGACTGCGGCTTACTACTGTGATTTACACACCAAAACACGACAAACAGCAGCGAACAGACCCATCCCCGCCAAGTCGCTATCTTATCGCGAGCAGGGTCTTCGGTGCGTATGCGTAATGTTCGCGGGGGTCTGAGCCAGCTTCGACCGGAGTGTTATTAAATTCGGTTAGCCAGCTGCGGTTACTTTCGCTTTTCCCACCGTCTGCCCCAAAATAAACCGAAATTAAAAGTTACCAATGCGGATGGTTTGGCGCTTAATTAGCATCCATTTGATGCGAGTGATGTAACTTCTGGAAATCGAAAATAGATATACTTGGCTCGAAGGCTGTTTACGGTTCAAAATTCTTATCAGTTTCTGCGGGTTTTGCCCTCCGTTTGATAAGTCTCTTGGATTAGATAAATTTTCAGTGGCATTTTCAGTTTCACTTCTCAAAGAACGCTGTTATGTGGAATAATACTGATTGATATTTTCAAACTTGATTAATTTAATCAGGCTTAAATAAATACTTTCCATAGCCTTAAATAAAAAAGACATTGAAAAGGAAGGATCAGCATTACAAGCTTATAATTTTCGCTCTTGGCGGAGGATTGTTTAGCCAATATATTTAATAAAGTGTCGGTTTAAACAGTGTACAAATCTCAATGTTTCTCTCTGTTTCTTATATTTTCACTGGGAATAGCTAAAAAGTGCAATTCGCATAACTCATTTGCCAAACAACCACACCAAAAAGTAAATAAATAAAGCCGAAGTGAACGTGATACGTCCTCAACCCACATAGAAGATAAACACACAACTAGAAGCTGTCCACAATGCGTCGAAATATCAAGCTGATCGTCTTCGTGAGCATCATCTGGATGTTCGTAATGGTCTACTACTTCCAGTCCAGCACGGAGAAGGTAAGTGGGAAGTTCATTCTAAATATTTAAAGCCAATAACTCAATGCCATTTGGCGCAGCAAAAGGGCTTACAAGTGTCTCGTTAATTTGCATCACTTTCGATTTACTTCTGAGATACTTTTGGCCAGGAGCTCTTTCTTTCTTGTAAAACCCGATCGAATCATTTCGATCCACCCTTCCTCTTCCGCTTGAATCATCATAATTTTTTCGACGAATACTCCGAAGAGAACCGTTGCGTACACCGCCCTGCATAGCAATTATTTGATTGCCACCGAATATATAGGTACTTGGCCCGCCACCGAATATTCCACTGATATGCCATTGTTTTCTCTTTTCCCCTTTCCCATACCCTCTCCTTTCACTTTGCACATAATTAGCCTCACGTACGGCCAGGTGGCATCATCTACTCATCTACTACCGGGAACCGTATTTTTGTTGCTTATTTTACAAGTTTTAATTAAGTTTTTTGGGCTTGTCAGCTGCCATTCATATAGTTGGAATATTTATTTGTTGGATTCCGGAAACGGGAGGTCTAAGCCGTGGTAACCTCTGGAGATAAGAGTATTTTCTGCTGAAATGTAATTTAACTTTCCATCAAATTTTCGATTTCAATTTACTCCCTTTAGTTCCTAGAATTATGTACGTACTTGAACGTTATGTGGTTCTAAATTGTATTTGTCTCCTCCGATACACGTGGCCCTAAATTGAATTTGCTTTCTTGTGTTTACGTATTTATCCATCCAATAAGAACAACATGAAATTCGTTTGTGCTCTCTGTAGGAGCGAACATGTATACTTTACAAGGCACCCGCCCCGTCCAGCACAATGTCAATATATTTCAGCAAATATCAGAAATTTATTATTTTTATTTTGCTGGCGTGTTGGAAGTGGCTTTCAATAAAAAAAAGAATAAAAAATGGGGAATAGGGTAAAGATTTTATAAAAACATGGGGTAGTTGCACAAAAAATTCTTTATATTCATGGAACTTTCAGAGCGAGCCTCAGCTTTTTACAAAAACTTCAGTTTAAAATAAAAAGGGGAAACATAAACAATTGGAACTATATAAAAATTCCAGCAATTATTACAAGTTTTTACAGACCATGTACGTCCTTTTGAATGATGTAAACTAAAAGAGTAACGCTTTTTATAAAATAGCAGAGACCAGACAAATGAAAAGCATATTCATTACTGTGTGGCAGTGCCAACGAACACAAAATAAGTGTGAAAACACCCTCCTATAATGCTCTCTTAATTATACTTTTGATCCTTGCAATGAATTTTAAATTGAGGAAAATAGTAATTATGAAAACGGCAGCACCACAGCAGTGTTTAAAATCGAGCGTAAATCAGCACAAATGAAGCCGATTACGAGTGTGCATAATTGAAAGTGTGTGCACAAATTTTAAGGCTCGGGCTGCATCATCATCGCCGCCACTGGTCACTTTTAATCCCCTCACCACAGTCATCTCCAAAATAATTTTTCATGTAAACTTGATTTATTTCGTTTTTTTGCTTCCCCGGCGAATGCCATTCCGGAAATAAAGCCACTACAGCCACTCACTGCACTTTTGGTTTTTGTAATTTTTTCGCTTTTTATGAAGCACTGGACGCTGTTTCACTATTTATTTATTTCTGGAAGAGTTATAATTATACCAAAGATTTTGCAGACAAGATAACTTGGGTTTACTTATAGATCCGCAAGGTTTGACGTTTTGAAGAGGTTGCGATAGCGAAGAGATTAAGCCTTAAGTTGGAACAGACTACAGTAATTAAATAGATTACCTTTGTTTGGCTATTGGGAATTTTCAGAGCTATCAGCAATCACTTGGGGGTTTAACGCGCCTCTGATAATCATGCGAAGTAACATGTTGTTTGCCAGCAATCGCATAGCTCAGCTCGCCAACCGATTCCCAGTTTATTTTTGGATTGCAGCACTCGAAGGCCCACCCGTTCGATGGCTAACATCTTTCTTCATCGCAATGACAGTTCATTCATAATATCCGAGCATATCCGAGTTTTTCTGCCATCTCACGATCGAACCGATTCGAATCGAGAGCGTCAGTTTCGAAAGGAAAATAAATCACAAAACTCGCACGCAAGTCAATCACACATTTAATTTAGTTTAATTGTTAGCAGCAGGGGCTGGTTACATAACAAATTGATTAGTTTTCGCCTCTTTGTTGGTCTTGGCTGCTTTGTGCGTTAATTACTTTGGCCAACCACTCTGTGTCCCGCTGCTTCCTAATACAGAGTCTAAAATCAACTTTCTCCTTTCCCGTCAAAACTTTCCACTCGCACCTAATGGATTAGATCCCGACCTGCAGAGCTCGGGCTGAGAACTTTAAATAAATTAAATAAAGAGTTTAATAAGCAATTAATAAGCCATAATGCAGGAGCCTGGCTGAAAGGCTTAAAAAGTGGCTTTCATTCTCCATATGAATCATGAATTTGGTTCGAAAAGAATTTGCATTGCAGACTTCCCCCTGCTTGGAGCTCAAAGATGTTTCTGCATCGCAAATGCAAATGAGTCCATCAGCAATGCAAATTCAGACAGAAACTTTACCCAGAAGTTGCTCTTCGATTACGAGCTATTATAACGAGTTCCACTTAACTTTTACGGCTCTGCCCAAATATGAACATAATGGCTCCGAATGTGCTATAAATATTTCAAGTTCAAACTAAAACACTTTCCAAGACCTTAACGCCTCATGAATTCGATTTATAGCTCTGTGTAGCTCGTGGATCTGCATATCCCATATAAAAACACCCGATTATTTACTCACAAAAAACAAATCTGCATGACCAGAAAAAAAAGCAAACATGACATTTGCGTGACAGCAAGTTACGCTCTGGTTGACAATCCAAATCCAATCGCTCCGAGCCTCCCAACAAAAACAGCACTCACTTGAAAAGAATGCCAAAGATACAGCAAAAAGTTAATTTGCTCTTGAAAACGCTTCAAATTATCGTCGCTCGATGGAAATTAATTTTAATTAAGTTCAATAGACGGCGATGATCGAACTGGTTTCTATAGAAAACGCTGATGACGAAAGCGGGCGACCCGAGTACACCCTTCGTTAGGGAAGTTTAATGGGGATATTCCGGGAACTTCTATCCACGAAACTTGAATTTGATGGTTTTAATTGCACTCCACTTAAAAACAGGGCTAGTCCGGTGTGGCTTTGAAACACAAAATATTATTAAACTAGCACCCCGTCCGAGTGTTACGTTCTCCAACCACAAGCACAAAATTAGCATTTTATCAGAAAGGTTGGCCTTTCGAGAGCCGGCTGCCAATGACAACTGGCCCGGCTTACAAACTTTTGGTTGATTCTTTGGCATTTGATGAGCGCTTTGATTTACTATGAATAATTAATTCTTATCTGCAGACAGGCTTGGCTTTTGATTTTGTTCAACTAATTCGCGTCCGGGGCCGGGGGGACTGGGCCTAGAGGTCACAGTCGGCTTAAACGACAAACTTCTCGTCCAACCGGCTGGGACATCAATTTTTGAATGGGCCCAACCGGTTATCTGCTGCTCTCCCCCACTTGCCATGTTTTTCTGAAATGACCATCTGTTTCAGCCTTTTGTTGGCGTTTGCTTTTTCTGAGTTGCTGCGGGGGACGCACTGTTTTCAAACGAAATTGCTGATGTGCCCTTTCGGCTAAATTTTGGCGCTTCGTTACCAAAGATAGTGCAGATGGAATGATTATTTTTTAGATTGTTTTATGTCAAATATATTCCACAAAAAAAAATATATTTTAGGAATGAAAATATATTGAAAAATACAGTATTAGACTGGAGTAAAATAATACTATATAAATGAAATTTGTTAGTACTTGTCGATAAAGTACCATTTAGTCCTAGAGATGAGCCGAGACTATTGTTCTTCCTGCCTTCGAGATGCCTTCTCCTTCACGGCTACTGCAGCCGCTGTTGCCTTTTCCTTGGCGGCCACTGCTGCGGCCGACACTTTTTGCTGGGCTTGTAAGGCCGTCGTCGAGGCTCTTTCCTTCAACACCGACGCTGCCGCCGACGCCTTCTCCTTCGTGGCTCCTGCCGCCGAGGTGGCAGCCTGTGAAGTGGCAACTGCCGCCGCCGAGACCCGCTCCTTGACGGCCGCTGCTGCCCCCACGAGCTTCTCCTTGGCGGCAATGGCAGTCGCCGAGGCCTTGTCCCGCAGAGCGATCGCCGATGCCGATGCCGTTGCCTTGTCCTTGGCCGCCGAGGCAGCAGCGGATGCCTTCTCCTTGGCAGCGCTGGCTGCTGCCACGGTGGAGTCCTTAGCAGCAACGGCCGCTGCCTGGCCCTTCTCTTTGGCGGAGCTTGCCGCCGCTGCCGCCTTGTCTTTGGCAGCACTGGCGGCTGCTGCGGTCTTGTCCTTGGCCGTCGTGGCGGCGGTAGCCGCTGTATCCTTTGCCGCAGACGCTGTAGAGGAAACCGCAGCAGCCGCATTGGCCGCCAGCTGCCTGGCCGACGCGGCTGCGGGAGCGTCATCCGCTTTTTTCTGGTTATCTGCCATTACTTAACGCAGCCGTAACCCAACGCATCCGGGCAAGGTCGTCTGGCTCACCTCAATAGCTTGCCCCCTTCGGACTTGGCCAACTCTTTTGCGGACTCGCCTGTGCGTGAATACACGGCGAACAATTTTTGATGCTGGATCGAAAAGATATTAGGAGAAGTGAAGTGTCTAGAAGTGTCACATTCCATGCTTCTATGATTTTTTATTTTTAAGTAGAAGGTAGAGTAACTTTCGTGAAAATATTACTTTTTTTTTTTTGTGTAAAAACCGGTCACGCTACCACCTTTGGGCCACTTTCGATTTTGTTTGCTGATTTTTTTGTTGTTATTTACAACTGGTTTGGACTGCTTCCTACTACAGCCAGTGGCAGAAGCCTCAAATGGCATAACAAAGATAAATGCGGCTGGGAAGAGACTTTATTGTCCCATCTAGACAAACAAGAAGTGACTGACCAACTCTAAACTATCAATCGAACTAGGCCAAGTAGTAAGACAGTATAGGGATTAGCATGTTCTTGAAAACCTCAAATTGTTTATAAAAGCTGATCGCACATTAATCACATTCGAAGAAATCGAGTAGCCCGTAACCTTTAACCACTTAACCAGGCTCATCTCGAAAATAATGCCACAGAAATAAACATAAAAGTCTGCAAGAGACTGGCAGGGGGACCTGAGGCCCTGGCGGGCACTTTGTTTGCCCAACTCTCGTCAGCTTAACGTGTTTTGCGTCATAAAGTTCAAGTTCATTATGCCAACGAAAGGAGAGAAGACCAGCGAGTACAAAAAACACATAACAATATAACAACCAGTTAACAACTCACATGATGAGGGCGGCCGCTGGCGCCCACTAGGCACCAGTCCAGGAAAAGGAAAACAACAACACTTCGGCCAAGTGCTACTCGCCACCGAGGCGGTTGCTCAAACAAACAAACAAACACTGCCAAACAAAAACAAAAGTGGAGCCCCGGAGACGGCTCGGCTTCTTTTTTAATGCATGCCTTATTTAAGGCATTAAATAATTATTGTTTAATGATGGGCAGCCGCCGGAGTTGGGCAACAACCGCCGAAGCGGCGTGAGAAAAGGGGAACTGGACGCTGGCTGACCCATTTAATTGTTACAGTTTCTGAGTGACCTTCAAAGGGGTTTATTGCAGGGCGATTACACTTTTCTGCTATTTATAGAATTTACCTTCCAACTCGATCACTTAAAACCAATCCGAAAACCCGGTTGAGCTCTCAAGCCCCCAAAGACCCCGCTCGTGACTCATGACCAGCTCACATTTAAATGTCAATTTAAAGATGATCATTTAAATACGAATTTGAAGCCCGGGCAAGTGAAAGTACGGTCTCGACCACAAATGCAATAATGCCAGCCGAGCAGCAGAAAATTGAACAATTCGAGAAAGTCCAACGGGGAAACAATTCAAATGCATGAAATACTGTCGCCAATTGTCGGTTGTATTCCGCTCGCTTTTATTTTTTATCTCCTCGCAGCCGACTGAATACCAACCGCCTTGTGGGGCTCTGCTCCATTCCCGTCTTAATTCGTTGTGTTTTTCGATTTTCGGGCATTTGCAGCCGACTTGGCGGCCAGTGGCATTCACCTCCGCTTTGTCTCCCTTTTTGGCCAACGGCAGTAGTTGATATTCCATTGTTTGCGGCTTGTGTGGCGAAAAGGTCAGCCATTGGGCCATGATTGCTTCTGGGACGTCACGTCATATGCCAAAAAACCACAAACGGCTCAAACTATTCCTAAACAAACGCTCTAATTTGTTCCGCAAATAATTCTCTTTCGGCCACACTGCACTGCGCCGACCTATAAATTGTAATCCTATTGGACGCATTGATTAGCTATTTATTGAAATGTGGTCGGGAACTAACCGCATGCACTTGCCAATAAACTAATTAAAACTTTGCCCACTCGATTGGATGAACTCTAGACTGCCAAACCGCAGTGGATAATAATGAGAAGGTCGGATAGAGCGCTTTCGGGGTCAATTATTTTTGTTTCCTAATGGCAGTGACAATCCAAGCAGCAAGATGGTGTTCTACCCATTAGTTTTGTTTTAATTCTCCTCGTTTTGTATTATTGTGTTCCGACTGCCTATGACAGTGTGCCCCCTCCGGCTCTGCAAACAGTGCATCTATCAACTGATTGTTGAACTGTCTGGAATTGTATCTCTTTGCATGCGATTCTGCTGTATTTCTAACAACGGTCCATGAACGAGCTCACTCTAGCCTGACTGATGACATGTGCTGGCTCTCACATGACGAACAGTGTTCCCAAATATATTCAAGCTATAGGGTGTAGAAATAATACAAATATGATAACAAGTAGAGCCAAGAAAGAGCTCCTATTTTGCACAAAAAGAGGCCAAGTACTTTATTCATTGTTAGACCTCCCATTCCAATCATTTCAAGACACTGTGGCTGCCTATTTTTCATTTTCCTTCTTAGAGGGCGTCACCAGCTGCCGGACTCCCATTTGTGCTTAATCATTGAAAATTCAGCCCGACCATGAGTCACATATCCAGTGCCAGACGAAATGAAAAGCCCAGAAAGGCAATCAAGCTGGGTCGGATAGAAGACTGGGATGCCGGGGAAAACAAAAGCCAGAGATACCAATAACAGAGTCCACAATTTGTTATGGTTGTCTATATGACTTCGGCTCAAGTCCGCTTTAATGGATGACCCACATTGGCGGCCACCAGTTGATTACAAAGTGCACTAATGGGGGTCGAGGCGTGAATATTTCGAGCTAATTTCCAGCTCGGCCTTAATTGATTTTCTTCTTTTACGAAACATCATAGTTGGGCGTGGCCCACCGCAATGGTCTATGTCCGGGGTGTTCGAAATCCCAATTCAGGGAACCAGACTTCACACAAAGTCCTCTACAATTTATGCAGAACATTTTCATATATTTTATGAAGAGATCTCTTGTCGCTTCCAAGGAACAGAGCTCTTGTCTTCTCGGCTTTTGGTGTTTTGGGCTGTCTGGCAGGGGCGGCAGGCCAAGGGGCGTGGCTGAACAAGTCGTCGGCACTTAGGCAAAGTCACTCACTGCGGCAATTTGGACACAAAACAGCGAGACACACACACAGCCCGAAACCTCAAACATGCAACAGCTGCTGCCACACGGCTGCAACTTGCAATTTATTGCAGCTTCATCTACTGTGGCACTAACTGCTGGCGATGCCAGAGGGGGTTTGGCCACGAGTGGCTGCACAAATGCTTGTGGCCCCCAATATTAAGTGCCTAGAACGCCTGGTTAGCCCTGAAAGAGGCTATAAAACCAACAATAATTTTCCCAGATAATTGCGAGAGTATCCTTTAAAATAAAGTCCTAACAAGGATGGATATGGATTACCCCCACATGCATGGCTTTTCACTTAATTTCCAAAAATATAACACATTTGGAGAAACTTTCTAGCTGAAAAGGGCAGCCATATGATAGAAGCTAGGGATCGTTGAACTATCGTTTATCAAAAAGTAGAACGTTACTGTAACAGCTTATCTTGACAAAAGTTTGTTGGAAAGGTTGGAAATATAATTGAATCATTAACTCTACCGAAACTATAATAAGGTAAAACATATAAAAAACATAAATTATTTGTTTGATTTACGCCACACATATTAAAAAAAAAAAACTAAGCATTAAAATCCCAATTTCGATAAAGAGCGACAAACGATACCTTTACGGAAATGCGACGATATGATACCCGATACTTAAAAAAAGTCCCATTAAAAAACAAACAAAAAAAGATCTAAAAAAACCTAAGTAATAAAACGGGCTGAAGACCACGATTCCAAATTCTTCTAGCACGGTCTTTGGGGAGTCTAATTTATCTGGAGATTTATTTAACCGCTTTTTTATTCAAAGTATCCTCTACCAGGGGCGAGCCAAGCTGGATGTGTATATCCGTGTTTCGGATGTACCACTCCTATCCTCCCAATTTTCTTTTAAACTCGGTTTTGTACATTTTTTATCTAATTTAGGTGAGTCTTAGCCGCAACTCCAGAATCTTCGATACCTTATTTCCATTTTGGTTAATATATTGCTGTTTAAATCCGTTTCTTATTAAAAATATCCTTATAACATTCTACATTTTTTATGCACTTTTGAGTGCTTTGAAAGAAGCCAATATCGGAATCAGATTAATAAGCCAATGACTCCTCTAAAATTTTCCCGAGTTGGCTGCATTCCTCCCAGTAAGATACATTCCCACAAATACCTTGAATACCGGGTATAAATCCTGGGACCAATGTAAGTATTGAGTGGTATTGAAGTCTCTCTAACTGCATATCTTCAATTTCAATTAAAACCCATGTAAAGAAACTACGGAAAAACGTTATAAGCTTTTAATGACAGATTTATATTGTGACCTTAGCGGAAATAGAAAGGAAGATCAAGCCCGGACAAAAACCAATAACATTTTATATATTTAATTGAGTTTCGCAAGACAAAAAGAAACTCGTTTGGGGCTGCCACCGCTGCTGTCATTCGGCTGCCACTGTGCCCCGCTTGGTTACCCATAAACAAAAAAAAACACACACAATAAAAAAGAGAAGACAACGAAGATGCCACACAAATTTTGCTACCAAACAATTTGCAATTGTTGGTGGCGGTGCTGATGCGGCCGCAATTTGGTTGGCATCGCACACAATTTCCATGCCACCGTGCTACAAGTAGTTGCATAACGCGCTGCAGTTGCCGCCACACAGTCATCCATCGGGGCCGGCTCGGGGTCACTCGGGGGTGTGGAGAGGACTCACATCACATGTGAGTTTTCCCATTAACTTGTTGGGATCAATCCATCGCTGGTGTTGGCCAAACACACCAGATAATTATTATTTCTGTTTGCTTTGAAGCCCCAAGCCGCTTTCATGGGTCGTTGGACACTTTTCTCGATTTTCCAGCTCGTCGCTAACTCTTCCCAAAAAATCTGTCGGATTTCTGTTTGGTCGGCAAACCGTTGACATTAAAATGTGGTTTAATGTGAGGCCGCAAGTTTACAAATGCCTTAAAGAAAGCCTTTAGACATAAGCAAGATAAGATCCATTTCTCTGGTCGTTGCTTTCGGAAGTTAGCCTTGGATTTTATAATCCATTATAAAGACGCGAGCAGTCATTGCATTTTACCTTTTAAAATAAAAAACTGGGCAGCTGTTTGAAAGTGAAAAGAGTCTCTAGGCGAACTTTTACCTTTCCAGAGAAATCCCAAGCGGCATTAATATTCTCAGCCACATGCGCCTCTTACTTTCCCGATACAAGAGTTCAAGTATTGTTTTGATTATTCTGACGAAATGCGATACCCTTTTTGGTTGGCAAACTTTTCAAAATTCTGTTTGCCCCGCCCGTCTGGCTGAAAACTTAATAACAAGATTTCTGGGTCCACGTCATGTGGCAGAAACAATTTTTATCAAGGTTCGGGTTCAACGGTCGACGCGAACACTTTTGAGTTGGATGTGCAGACAAGAGGCGGGTTGTCAATATTTTCGGCTTTTCGATGGCGTGCATAGACTTTTAATTGAATTCTGGTGTTCTTGTGGGGGGTTTGGTTGGTTGGTGTCCCTTTTTGGGTGCGGCATCCTCAACCTCTAATTTGTAATGCATAAAAATAATCAGAGAAACACAGATTGCAATAAATGATAGGAAGAAGTAAAATATGGGTGAAAACCAAATTTGATACGTTCCAATTACTAAATTATGCAGTTAGTAGCTCTTCCCCAGCCCGGCTCTTTCGATGTGAAAATCATTCAACTGGAAGAGTGCACACACTCTCAGACTCTGAAAAAAGGAAAAATAAATGGAAACACGAAGCACCAAGCACTCGAGATTAAAGAAATCTTTGCCCCACTCCGACAAACAAACAGACAACAGAAACAAAACCAAATAATGGTTAAGGCTGAGTAAATTAGGGGGCTACTCGCAAAAACAGTCGGTATCCAAAAGCAAATTCAACTTGTGGCAAGAGCTGGAGGGAAAAAAATGTCACTAATTAGAAAAGGGAAATCGTTCGCAGAAGAAACATTTAATGAAAAGCTTTCCTGGGAAGTCCCAGGACGACCCACTTGGGACATGTTTTTAGTCAAAAAAATTTGTAAAATTAGTTGTGAGCCACCAAATAAGACGATTTTTTCTCATTTAGAGATAACTGAAATTCGATACACAAACTAACCAAATTCTAATCGGCGTGCTCGCCATGGCCGCGCTCCTGGCAGCAACGCTTCTCGGCACTGATCAGGGCCAGCATTTGCTGAGTCTCCCGGGCCAGGCCCACCAGCGTGCGCAGATCCCTCTCCAGGATGTCGATCCTCTGGCGCTGGATCTCGACCACCCTCTGGTACCTCTCGTTCTCCTGGCAGTATCCCTCGGCCACTTGCCGCCAGTAGCCAGCGTCCTCCTCCCGTTTGGTGCGATGCTGTCGCTTGAACTCGTTCAACACCATCGCAAGGCGGGCCAGAGCTCGAAAGGACAAGTGCCGCTTTCCTGGTCCCGGCTCCGGCAGGGCATCCGTCGACGACTGAGGCAATGGCTCGGCTGTCAGGGACTTGGCGATGATCTCGTTAATGACCGAGTCAGTGGAGTACTCCGACTTCAGTTCCGAGTCGGAGGTTGATTCCTCGACCGGCTTCTGCATCAACTCCTGCTGCAGATCCTCAAGTTGCTTGGTGTTCAAATAGTTGGCCATTGTCAAGTGCCACATAAAGGCTATTCAATTTTGGAAGTATTTTGGAAGTATTTTGTATTACGCAGGCTACGGGTGGATATTTTGTGAGAATTTTGGATTGTAGGGGTTGGAGGTGATAGGCTCAGAGCCTACTTGGATCAGGGAAAAAGTTTACATAAATAAATACTTCTCCTCCGCAACAAGCTACAAAAAACGAAATTGCCAAGCTCATAATTCACAACCAAATATATCTTTTTTTGCAATAAATCTTATCAGAATCTCCATATTTTGCCAGTGACCCTAAAAATAATCAATGTCACAAAATGGCGCTGAACTCAATTCGAAACAATTCATGGGTCTCTGCTTCTCCATACACTCGTCTATTTTTATTTGGTTGGCAACATTGAACTCGAGCAATAAACCCAAAAAAGACCGAAACCAAGAGACAAAAACAAACTCGCTTACAAAACTCGCATTTAAGGCAACTTGTTGCTCCGATTCGACTTGACGGAGCTGTCGCCACAAGCCGTTTCGAGGATAGTTTTAGTCGACTTGGCCGAGCAAATGGCAGATTCAAAAAACAAGAATTTGATGAGCTCACAGCAGTTCATTTGAGTGACTTGACTTTGACCTCATGAGGGGCAAAAAGTTTCGAATATCCCTTGACGTCAGTCCCATAATTTTTCAGTCATCACTCCTTGGAGAATTTCTAAAAATAGCCGGGCTTTGCAATGGGAGTTGCAGTCTCAGAAGTCAAATAAATTTGCAAGTGGAGAGCAAAGTTTATACGTGATTTTCATTCCTCTAGTGGCACAAACAAGTCCCACTCATGGCCCGAATCTGATGCTGATTTGTGCCTAATTGGGAGCGACATTCCATTATTGACAGCCAAACACCGGGCTCGGCTCCCCTTCAAACAACGAAAACTAATTAATCTGGACACAGTGTCCTGGAGCTACTCCGGGCTCCGAGCTCCTGGCCCTATTCGCGGCCTGTGCTCTATTGTAATTCAACCGGATTTGTGGGTGGAATTGTAGGGCTGTTTGGCTGTTTTCGAGAAGCCCTGAGGTGTTTGTTTTCCAACTGAAATTGGCATATTCCAAAAGAGCAATCTTGAAGCGTTTGACATGAAGCCCACTCGAAATTGATCCTATGTGGTTTGGTCTGAGTTTGAAATTTGGGGGGGTTCTTGGAAAATCAATTCCCAATGCATAAGCCTCACACTGAATACAATTTTGGCTCAGTTTAATAGAACCTTTAGAAGAAAAAAAAACTAAAATACAAATAGTAAATGGCCGAGAAAAAGGACCAATTTAATTTAAATCCTATTTTCCCACATAATCCATTTATTTTTATTTAAACTTCCAGAAAGGCTTTTAGCGACAAAGTTGGAGGCAGAGGTATAAGACATCTGTTACCTCTCGAACAGAAAAAGGACCTTACTGGATGACCATTCGACCCAACTAAATTGACAAATGAATCATTTCACTCTGCTAAACACTGACCCGATTCCGGGCCCAGAATAGGAGGTCTGAGGCGATTATTAATTGCCCTTTTGCGTTGAATCTATTTGTCAAGAGTTTTGTCAGAAGCCCTTTATCGGGGCTCTTCTAACTCTGATTTATGTGTGTCGAGCGTATTGAAAGCGATTTCTTTTCAACATTTTCTGGCTGACTTTAGCACTTTTGTTATACGCTGCGTATGCGTGATTTTAATTTCAAGTAGAGCGCTTTTTCGCTTTATTTCGACTCCCTCGGTGGCACTTTCCCATTTCGTTTCGTTTGATTTGCGTTTTTGTAGAAAACGTGTTGCCTTTTAGCAGCAATTTGAAACACATTTTTAGCTCCGTGTTGCTATTTCTACCTCGTTCCATTTGCACTTCTGGCCAAGTTCGTGTGCAAGATGTGGCTCAGCAGCGCTTTCCAATGAGCCATTCGTGCTGCTTATAAATAATTCACTTAAAAGTAGAAGCTTCCAGCTCCCTGGATTGCTGTGGTTTCTTCGATGTCTGCTGAAGCACCCTGTAGTGTCTGTTCAATTGAAAAGCCCAGAAACATTGTCCCTTTGGTGCGGTTGCCGAAAATCAATCGGTCAAGGCTCCTCTGATTTTCTTGAAATTAGCTTTAAGTTCAAGACAAGTCCTTCTTTAAGTTGCTTTAAAAGTTAAACATTTATTTAGAGTTATAATTGCCTTCCAAGTTTCGCACTCAAGTCCCCAAGGAGTCCTGGCAGTCGCCAAGGAGTCCTGGACAGGACAATGTAGGCGGTTGGGGGTTTTTCCTGGCAACATTTGCAATTTATAGATTATTAATCTCGAAACAAGCTCGGAAACTGCACGGAGTGGCTTCCCTTTGGTCATGTTCCGATGTATTTTATTACGCGAGCAGGAAACTTTTGACCAAACTCTGCCATGCATTAAATATTTTCAACTACACACTGAAAACAATACATCTTATTTAAAGTTTCGACTCGATGAACTGCATATTGTAAGATTTCCTAAAGAATGCCTATGAAGGGCTTTAAAGTTATCAGCTTATGTCTTTATATTATTTCTGGTATAAACTTGTTAGTGGTTCTTCAAGTGCAGCCCTATTGCTCCCAGTTGGATTGAGTTATTGGCCCGGACGAGCGTCAACGTCGCCAGTGCGGCGCAGATTAAAGAAATAAATTAAAACACTTGTCTGCCCTCGCGGGCTTCTGTGTCCTTTTAGGTGGAAAATCGAGCTCTGCGGCTACGCGAGGTGGCCACCGCCATGCAGCAGCTCCAGGAGGACTCCTCCTCCGCGGGCGCCGCCTCCACCGCCCGCCAATGGGCGCCAGTCGGCGGAGCGGGGCCTGGAGGGGCATCGGCTGGCAGCGGAGCCGACGATCCCGGCGGCAATGTCATTCTAATCGGGTCGGTTAAGGACTTTGAGCGCAATGCCGTCCACGGGCTCAAGTTGAATGGCATTGTGGCCCTCGAAGAGACGTCTCAGGTAGAAATACCAATAAAGAAATACTTTTATTTGATGAGTATTTAATCCTCATAACCTTATCTTCCCAAAATTTACTCTAAAGGGTATTAGTGGGGGTACTGGTGGACCTGGAGGACGACTGCCTGTTGCCCCCAGTGGTCGAGGCACTGAAATCGAATATTTCGATGAAGCCGGCTACATACGAGCAGGTGCCCTGCGAAACGGGGAGGACCCCTACATCAGAAACCGCTTCAACCAGGAGGCCAGCGACTCCCTGCCCAGTAATCGTGAAATACCCGACACAAGGAATCCAATGTAAGTGAACAGAAGCTGCATCCTAAGTTTGTGTTATTCAAGATGTGTTTTTGATAATCAAGGTGTCGTAACAAGAAATACCGCGAGGACCTCCCCGAGACGAGTGTAATCATTACTTTCCACAATGAGGCAAGGTCGACGTTGCTGCGAACGATTGTCAGTGTCCTCAATCGGAGTCCCGAGCACTTGATCCGTGAAATAGTTCTGGTGGATGACTACAGTGACCATCGTAAGTAACCCAAGTTATTCTAGGAACGAGTACGGGGAAGAAATTCATAAAAACCTCCTTTCAGCCGAGGATGGCTTGGAGCTGGCCAAGATCGACAAGGTTCGTGTCATCCGGAACGACAAGCGCGAGGGTCTAGTTCGGTCCAGGGTCCGGGGTGCAGATGCCGCGGTCAGCGGTGTGCTGACTTTCCTGGACAGCCACGTGGAATGCAACGAGCGGTGGCTGGAACCCCTCTTGGAGAGAGTGCGCGAGGATCCCACCCGCGTGGTCTGCCCCGTCATCGATGTGATCAGCATGGACAACTTCCAGTACATCGGGGCCTCGGCCGACCTACGAGGCGGCTTCGACTGGAATCTGATCTTCAAGTGGGAGTACCTGAGTACCTCGGAGCGGGCGATGCGCCACAACGACCCCACGACTGCCATCAGGACGCCCATGATTGCCGGCGGACTGTTCGTCATCGACAAGGCCTACTTCAACAAGCTGGGCAAGTACGACATGAAGATGGATGTTTGGGGCGGCGAGAACCTGGAGATATCCTTCCGGGTGTGGCAGTGCGGCGGAAGTCTGGAAATCATTCCCTGCAGCCGCGTGGGTCACGTCTTCCGCAAACGACATCCGTACACCTTTCCCGGCGGTAGTGGCAACGTCTTCGCCCGGAACACGCGACGTGCCGCAGAGGTATGGATGGATGACTACAAGCAGCATTACTACAATGCCGTTCCTCTCGCCAAAAACATTCCGTTCGGAAAGTAAGTACACTGAGAAAAATCAATCGCATCAAAAGTAAAACAGTTCATAAAATGTATAGCTCTGTCTCTAGTCTCAGAGCTCTTCTATGTTTTATTCGAGTGCTTTGAACACTCCATTCAAGTTATTTATTCGAATCTTCCCCCTCTCGCTTTTCCCCAACTCAGCATTGATGACCGTCTGGCATTGAAGGAAAAATTGCATTGCAAGCCCTTCAAGTGGTATCTGGAGAATGTCTATCCCGACTTGCAGGCCCCCGACCCGCAGGAGATTGGCCAATTCAGACAGGATGGCACCGAGTGCTTAGACACAATGGGCCACTTAATCGACGGCACTGTGGGTAAGTAAAGTACCTCATAATTTATTCTGCAAACTTTTTACATGATTTAAAAGCTAAAAACATCATAGTTTGACAGGATATAGTATTCTCAAAATGATATAAATTTACATTATGATGATTTTATCGTTACTAAAATTACATTATTAATGATTTTAAACGGTACGGACTATTTCAAACAATTAAATGTGCTTTTTCAAATAGATCGAATTGTATATATCAAAAGTCGTTAATTAGTAGCCTCATACAATACATTTTAATACACTCCATTTAAAGCTATTTCTTAACTTATTATATGGTAATTGAAAAATTTATTTTCTTTCAAAACAAAAAAAAAACATTTTATTCTTCAAGCCAAGCCAAAATATTTTTTTTTTGGCCAAATTTTTCTTAAAATCATCAAATGTTAAAATTGAAGAAACAAATTTTTGGAAAATGCAACATTTATTGAATTGTTTTTTATATCTAATATAAAAACCCTAAATATCTAATTCCATTTTTCAAACCAATTATTTTTATCAATATGATACTTTAACCTAGTTTTATAATTTCTCCTCCACATCGAATAGGCATTTTCCCTTGCCACAACACGGGCGGCAACCAGGAATGGGCGTTCTCGAAGCGGGGCGAGATCAAGCACGACGACCTCTGCCTGACCTTGGTGCAGTTCGCCCGGGGGTCGCAGGTGGTGCTAAAGTCTTGCGACGAGTCGGAGAACCAACGGTGGATCATGCGGGAGGGCGGCCTGGTGCGGCACCACAAGATCAACGTGTGCCTGGACTCCCGGGACCACAGCCAGCAGGGAGTGAGTGCCCAGCACTGCAACTCGGCGCTGTCCTCGCAGCGCTGGTCCTTCGGCAAGTTTGCGTGAGAGGGAAACCGCTAGACTTAAAGGATCGAGTGATATATACGAGGAGGCGTGCGAAATGTATGTGTATGATTGTCATGGTTTACCAAGTTGATTTTTTGCTGAACTCAAACACTCACTCATGATTATAGTACTATGACATTATATTGTTATTAAGTTGAAAAGGGTCACGAACTTTGTCACTTCAAATCAACTTCTCGCGAGGGAGTTAATTTTAAACGCTACCTAAAATCCAGCATGAAAGCATACAAAAAATGTACTTAGACTGATTAATTTTTTGTATATGTATAAAATATATGAACGCGAAATGACAGAAAGTGAAATTATAAACTTTGGCAGCTGAAAACTGAGCTAATTTGCATTCCCATAGCCGACGCATCTCATCAAGTCAATTAAGGTCTATACGAAAATTCCAGATTAGTACCCACGTTGAGTCCATTTCGAATGCCCCGCCCAGCTCAGAGTCTTCTCAACTTTGTACTTAACAAAACATGAAATGTTATCATTAGTTTTAATTATACACCTAAGTGAAATCATTTGAAACCTGTATGAAATATGTATGTGTATATAAAGAGAAGGAAATATTATTTTAGAGCTCGTTGAACGCCGCAAACGAAAACAAACGAGATATCTCGCTTACAATTTATGAGTATTTTTTATGATATTTAAAAATCGGAAAAGTGGATAGTCTCTGGCGTTTTACTGTCGATTGGTTATTGTTGAATGCATAAATCATTTCACAGTTTTCATAGGGAAATAGACATGCTTTTTATCACAGACATTGAACCATTTACGACGTGGCAGATTCAGCAAAAACGATTTCAAAAAGCCTAAAAAATTACAAATTATTGAATCCAAATATTGTATATTTGTTTGTATGTACAGTGCATCTATTCAGAGAACGAATTAAATGAGTTTTTAATTTAAAACATCTGGAAATGCAAGAAAAAATTGAAACAATAAATTAAAACATTAAAACAAGTGGAGCGAGTTTGCTTTTGACCGACTGAACTTGGGCCCACGCTAATGTGATTGCTCTGCGGAAGGGAGGGGGAGGCTGTGGGATGAGAGTGGCAGCTGCCATCAAATCTGGTTAAGTACTTTTGGCCCACATGTAGGTTAAACGACTTAACTTTCAACTCCAGAATGCCAAAAGGCCTGCCAGGGCATTCCAACAAAAAAGGGGCGAAGGAGACGAAAACATGGCGCGTTGCGTATACGACACGTCAGCACGAAGAATGTGGCCATGCATACTTTCAGGCGTCTTGGTGGCGCTAATTTGCGCGGTGCTTAAAAAATGACACAGCAATGCTGGGGAAGGTTGGGTTTTCGAACCAGGACAAGGCTTACTTGTCATAAAACGTGTTTCTTCTATTCGGGCTTGTTTGCTGCAGGAGGCGGAGCAAATGGAAGAGGGCCCAGATGAGGCAAACATGCCCTGCATAAAGAATAATATAAAGTGAAGTGTCATCTCCTCCAGCGATTCCCGAGGAGATAAGCCGGGTTGTTTGGACTCGTTTGGGCAAACACCCTTGCAGAAGCATTTGAGGTGTAAGCTTTTTGAAACTGCTAATGGATTCGTTTCGCTTGGAGATTCTGTAAAAGAAATATTTTGATAGCTACGTCTTGGGAATAGCTTTTCAAATATTGTTTCCCATTTTGTTTCATTTAAAAAAAACTACAAAATTTATTTTTTAACGAACAATTTCTTTCTTAAGGGCTTGTCGCTGCTTTCAAGTAATTTTTGGCTTCACATTTCACGGCATATTCCCTTCAATCAGCTCGTTAACCAGAACAGCGCTTGCAACCGCTCGGCTCCGGTTCTGCTTTGAGGAAATCTGGGAAATGCAGTGTGCAAGAAGGAAACAGGAGCATAGCGACGTCCCAGCCGGAAGGCAAACCGATTTCCTGGCGAGAAGCCTCAGAACGGAAGCTCAACTCGACTCAGGAGGACTGCCGTGGAGGCTGCCGTAAAACGGTGCCAAGCAGTGCAGGCGACAAGGTTAACCCCGACTCATGGAAATCGTTTATGCCACCGTTCCACAATGCCACCCCACTCCGCCCCCTCACATATGCCGGAAAATTGTTGAGGCGGGTCCTGTCTGAATATGTGTGTGTGCGTGGGAGGGTAGACAGGTGAATAACAGTTTTTCCCCGGCCACTGTTTGCCTTCTTATTTAAGACAGCGTGTGTCAGGCATACGCAAAAAGCCAACGGAGAAAGAGGCACAAAGGAGGCAGGAAGCAGGACGAAATCTGCCCTGACCTGGTCTGGCGAGCATTTTGCAGCTTCCTTTTCAGCATCGGTGCCTTCTCCCCAGAACTTTCTTCTCTCCGTTTTCCTTCTGCCCACCCCCGGGCCAGATGCTATCGGTATTTTTTCCGCTTCCGCAGTTTTATCACGGGGCATCAGCTTCTGCCGGGGCATCCTATTCCCCTTAAGAACTACAGGGTACAGCAAGGAGTATTCCATCAGAAGTTGTTGCTATATGAATTACAAAATATTTTAGTTACGTAGAGCCTAGTTACCTAGTTACCTTTTATATTCTAGAGCTCTATGCTTAGTTGGAAGTACTCTTTGAGTTTTAAAATATTTTGAAAAAAAAAAACTTTACTAAAACTTAAAACTAAAACTTCACATTTAATCTTCAAATTTTCATCTTAAAATTTATCTCGCCTTTATCCTTTAAAATAAAATCTTTATTATTTAAACACCTAGTATTTAAAATGTAGATAGTGCCTAGTTAGATACACAGTTACCTAATTCCAATTAACATCTCTTAGTTTGTCAGCTAATGACTTCTTTTAGAAGTGCAATTATTTTTTCAATTAGATTCGAGTAGTTATCTAACTATGCGCGAAACAAACGCGCTTTCCCACTGTCCCTTCTATTAGTTGCCTAACTGGTTTAATTACCGGCGCTTTTCCGAGGAAAGTTCCACCGCCTTTCCGCCGCCACCTGCTGGGTGTCGAGTGTTCTCTCAGTTTCGAGTCCCCTCGGCAGGATCTGCCACTTCCACTCGCACACATGTCGGCCTGATGTTCCCGGGGTATTTGAGTTTGCTTCGTTACGTAGTCACTCTTACGTCATTGTCGGTTTACGTGGCGTGTTAATAACCCAGGCGCACACACACCTCCCTATCTGGCTTCCCTTCCGCCATTCTCGTGGATAATCAACCGACATTTTGCAACACAGGTTTACAGGTTAACACAAACGGGGAGGTGCGGAGCGCAAGGACTTTTCATGCTTTTCTTATCCTTTTATTATTGCTTTTGTGGATAAAAAAATCTAGAGCTCCATTATAACAAAGTCCCTTGTTCAAACAATCTTTTATAAAAAGTTATTATTGAACTGAACTTTTCAAAGGGTACTCCAGGTTTCAATTCGCACATCTTGTAGTTTACATTATTTTTGTTGCTTAAGCTTGACTTTTATTTTCTTTTTTCTGCTCGGGAGCTCGTGCATTATTCATCCGTTGGTCCTTCGCCGCTGACCACGTACGCATAGTCCTGCCTAAGTAATCAGCCTGTCGTGGCCAGACTGTTGCCGTAAACATAATTAACAACACGTTAGAGAGGCAACTGGGTAATGACGATAGGCGGAAAATTACTGAAAGTAAGTCAGTCCAAATTCTGAAAATATTTTTGAATCTTAAAGATGAATGGCTTTTAAGGCCTGTGCACAGTGTTGCCCCCACTCTATCTATCTCTGTCTGGATTCGAAAAATGCAAATGACTTGTTTATTGTTATTGCTCGTTGTCGGCATGAATGATTATTCAATGTTCCCGCCGAATTTGCACACATAAGCGGATTACTTACTCAGCCTTCTTGGCAGCGCGGCATTGTTGGGCTTTCCTGAATGTTGGGTCCAAAGCAAGGTGCAGAGCTCGGAAATTAATGTTCATCAAAAAGTCATGTCCCAAGAAAACTCAGAAATCGTTAATTTTTTTTATAAAACTTACAATAGACAACCTGAAAATCTCCTCAAATCCTCTGACAATGCTTTAAAAGACCACCCCATGTTTGTAACACAAATTCACAGGAACCACCTCTATGGTTCTCATTTCTCTCTTCTTAATTTTGGTGCGTGGGTGAAAGCAATATCCCAATCGTCTTAGCCCAATTTTCATTCATTTGTTTATTGCGTTTTGCCCCTCTAGAGTCACTTTACATCGGGAATACCCAACTTTGCTTTCTACGCTTGATTGAGTGACGTGAATACGATGCCACGTTTTTTTTTAATTTCCTAATTTTTTAGGACAATTTCAGGTTGCCATGGAGTGTCTCATTAATGGACCAGATCTCAATAAAACAATGTTCGCCCAATCACCAACTTATTAATATTTAATGGGTGTTAAATGCGAGCGTGGGATGCGGAAAGTGTATTCGTTTTCACATAATTAAGCTGAGTGGGTGGCTGGGAGGGGTACTGGTCGACGTATCCTGATATGCGTATTTTTGGCCTATGAACTTTGCTAATTTATTTATTTTGTCCTAATCTCAGAGACACACGATGCCACATTCTTGGGTGCCTTTCAATCATTCTTAGCCGTGACTGGCTATCTCTTACATAAGCTGCTTAATTGTATTGATGTGTGGGCGCAGACTGAACAGGCCACCACCAATGTTGTTCTTATTCAATCGATTTCCATTTGCGAGATCCTATTCAGAGTCTCGCAGAGCTAACTGCCCGGAATGCGCCCGAAAGCCGGCAATGCTTTCGCTTTGTAGCCACACTCTCGCACAAACCCGCCTCCACCAAAGCTGTTTTGACAGGCAACAAATAGCTAAGGAACTACAAACAAAACCAGACAGGGACACAGAGCACAAAACAAAGCCAAGTCGAGGGAAAGTTTCGCTTGGCTTTCCACCTTTGTTCCAGCTTTTGTTTTATCTCCGGGACTTAATTGGAAAGCATGAAGACACAAGCCCTGCGAAACGTGTTGGCATTAACACACGCACGAGCAGGAATAACAACGCAACCCGGGAAATGATGCCACAGTGCTTGTCCTTGGTCCGAACCACAGCTGCTGGCGGTGGCCCTTCACACGTCCCACTAAATGCCACTCGAGGGCCTCCAGTGCGTATACGTAATTTGCGAGTGCGGCTCCAAGTGGCTGTCCAGCTATTTATGCTTGATGGCAGCAAATACATGGATCCGTTTAATAATTTGTTCTATTTGTCCGGGTATTGTCTTTTGTGCTTCCAGCACAAATAATTCCATTTACAAAATCTCCTATCAATAGCTTTACTTTAGTTATGTATTTTAATATTTCACTATGCACTATTTGAAAGAACATCTGCTATGCACTTGCATATAGGTCGCCTTTTCAATCCCTTAATAACCTTAAGAACCATTTTGCACAGACCACTGAGTCGGTCTGTGTCCTTGTTTGCCCAATCGGGCGATTGAAAACTTGCCGAGCTAATTAGCTGCTTGAGAGCAAACACTTGAGGAAATCCCTTTCAATTAAACACCAGCAACATAATCAGTAACCGTTCCGAGTTGCCTGATTGTACGTAAATAAATCGTTAGCCAGCCAATACGAACCGGAGACCAGAGTTCAGGGATCAACAATGAAAAAGCGTTAACAAAATCAACAAAAACCACACCTGGGGCCAATTAGGACACTAATTAATTGAAACCGCAAAGAGAAGATCGACAGACTGGAGGACAGACATCATCAATCCGGGCAATCAAAATATGAGTCCGAGAACCCTACCCTGCCCCCAAGGACTCGGCAGTCAAATCAATGTCCGGCCCAGGCGCATCCGAAAGTTATGGGTTGCATAAAAGTCACTGTCGATGATAAATGAAGCTCCGCCAGCCAGGATTTGCATACCGATGCATACATAATGGCCAGCCAGGAGCCGAAGAAGCAGAGGGATAAGTGACTACTTCGGATTCAAGGAGATGGAACAGAGCGCGCTCCTCTCCTGTCCTTTTTCGGTCAAGCTTTCGCAAAAGACGCGGAAAGAAAGAATACGGATTCCATTTGCAAAGCGACAGGGAAAGCCACCGAACGAAAGGATAACAATGTCAGTGACACATGAGCTGCAAAACTGAGAAGGCACGAGCTGAAAATTGCAAAAATGCAGACATTTCAAAGGGAAAATTTCCTCCAGCTTAGAGAGGGAACTTCTGGGCTTTAAAGTTAAAGTCATTCGCTAAGGACACAATTAGGAAAAAATTGTTTGTTTTTCAGAATTGGGAAGCATATTGGAAACTTTCATAGGTATTGTTTCACGAATATCTAATGCGGGAAGCGGAAAAGTCAGAAACATAAGCCATAACTTGTCAGACAAGATGTCATGACTGTTATTTTCATGCCTGCAGTCGTTCAAGAGGGGCTGGTGGGTCCTAGTTCAGCGCTCTCCTATTATCTCACAATTTGCGTTCTCCTTCGCTAGAAAATGATTTAATGAAATCAATTACCAGCCTCCATCCTTCCAGCCCTCTGAAGACTGAGGGACAAATGAAATTAGCGCGCTTCAAGGAGCAAAGGGACGAGGAAGGCCTATGGGCCAAGAACATCAAGATGAAAAAGGAAAATTGTGTTGGAAAAAGAAACCGTTAGCTTGAACAAATTGTTTGTAGTCTGTTCTGCCATATTCTCCTCCGTGTGTATGGGGGTTTTGATTTTATTGCCATTTATTGAGTTTTTATTGCCCTGGCTTTATTTTTTTTTATTTTCTATGGGCGAATTCAATTTAGGAAATATTTGTGGTGGCTGACTTTGATTTAATAAAGTGTATATAGACGGATTTATGGTTGTGTATGAACGGAATATAATTGATCTCGAAAACCAGTCTATTGGAAACGTAAAGATTGAAGTTAAACTTGTTTGAAGTTTTATGCCAAACATTTATTAAAAACTCTGCACAAATCCATGAACTTCACTTTGCTTTTTTATCCTTTTCCTTCAAAGAACCTTTCTTCGAATTATCCGCGGCTTTTGGAGCCTCCTTGCATGGGGGATTGCACTTCTTTTCCTTGGTCTCCTTCTTAGACACGTCCTTCACGCAGTCGTCGTAGACGGGGCGCGGCTCCTGGTACCCAGTGTCCGGGGAGCAGGGCGGGCAGTCGCACTTGGAATTGGCATCCGTGGTGCAGCTGGGTGGCTCGGGTCCTACATAAAAAGGATTAAACCGGCAAACCATACTTAGGGATTTTTAATAGAAATGCGCAGAGTCAGAAACTTAAAATTTTGATAGAAGTTTTGGTTCTGATTAGGAAAAGTTTCAATACAAAATGGGAAATTCTACGGCATGTTTTCCATAGCTATCTATTTTGATTCTATTTATTCTTTTAAATTTCTTTGGAAAAGAAATTCAAAGTCAAATAGATTTAATTAAGAAATTTATTCCAAGTGTCACTGGCCCTAATTTAACAATTCCCGGCCCAAGGTTTATCTTAAGGCCATGGCAATTATTTACGAAACTGAAACGCCAAATTAGCATCAAAACAAGGAGGGCCGAGACCAAACAAACAAACTGCGTTTGTTGCCAAATATTTGCCGGCGTGAGCAGGCTTCATAAAGCTGCGGGTCTGGAGAGCTTAAAGCAGATTATACGAGTTTTCACAGCAAATGCGGAGAACATACACCAAACACAGGACCAAACCAGGATGGACGACTTTTTAGAAAGTCTTGACTATATGATACCCGGTAAACTTCTCTTGCACCCTTAAATTATTTTTAATTTTAATTTTGCGGCGTACTTTTAGCTGCTTTGCAGTACAGGGAACAGTACAATATATACAATATTACAGTATTTCTTTCTCACGAATACAATATACCCTTTTTACCGAGGACTACTCGGTACAAAAAGAAAAAGCGGCGAAGGAAGACCGCAGGAAAATAAACATTTAATGGCGAGACAGTCATAAAAAGGAAAACAGGCCTGAAATGATGGGCGGGAAAAAAATGTTAACAAAAAATAACGCCAAGGAAATAAAGCAAAACACATAAGCCGCAAAGACAGAGCCAAGAGGATAGCTGGCAAAAAGAGGGTTCGGATAAAAAAAGCTCACATGCCTTGAAAGTTTCCAATTTTTACGACTTCATTAGAAACGCTTGATGAGCAATAATGATAATACGCGGCGAGGAACCGGGAATAAGCACTGCCGGAAGTGGAGGCGGAAACGGAAAGACTCACAGCTGTTGCGGGAACTACTCAGCCACCACTTCAACTATAAAGACGCCGCAGGAATTTTGTTAGGAATTCCCAAAACAAACAAAATTATACTCTTTAGTTTTAACTCATTGGCTTTAACATTAAAGTGCATTTTTAGTACTACATGAATCGCTCATTTCTCATTTCTCTTTTAATAAATAATACTACAAAAGCTATCACAAAAGATGTGTACCCCAAGCCCTAATGCCCTGAAAGAATGAAAAAAGAGGGCACAACACAAGAAAGTGGCGGACTTGAGGGAGGTGAACCAGCTGGAAAATTACTCCACTCCCGCGCACATGGACGCACTCACATTTATGAGTGAGTGTCGCACAAGTGGGCAATTTTTGGGCAAAGGCCAAAGGACGAGATGTGTTGACGGTAATGAAAGTTTAAATTGTTTTTCCACAGGGTACACAACCAAAATGTGACTGGGGAAATGGGGTCGTGAGCCGGTCCTCTGATATGTAACAAATATATTTTACATTTTGACATTCAAAGCTACGGTATTGCACAATAAAGTTTATCTTTATATTTTGGGGTTTCCTTTTCTATACAAGGATATGTTTACGACTGCGTGCGGAATACAAAACTGAACTTGTGGGGATTATATTTATTATGGAATGATGCTTAAATGGCATGCAATGGCCATGTTAAAAATTGTTATTTATTTATTAAATTTAACAGGGATGCTCAAAGAGTAATAAATTTCATGCAAAGCTTACAAAATTTCAGCCAAATGATTCCGCAGCGAATCAGATCAGTGATTATGCTGGAGAAAGTGCTGCCTATTCCATTCAAATTTGCGAATTCGGGGAGAGTTGACACATTTTTTAGTGAGAACTCGAAGTGAATTCAATAAAATATGCATAGGAGCATATTTATTTCTATTTTATTAAAAAAAATAACAATTTATGTGGAGATAAAGAAATTGTAACTCCAAAAATTCTTCACTTGTGCAATTTCTGAAGTCATTTGTGGACTTGTTTAGTATGGCTTTAGTTTTGTAACTATAGTATTGTTTTGTAGTTTTCAGGAACTTTGAAAGTTTAATTACTTAAAAGAAGTAAACATAAAATAAGATAACTTTTAAAATTATTAAAAAACAAGAAAGGAAAGCTAACTTCGGGCGGAGCCGAAGTTGATATACCCTTGCAGTTAAAACCGGATATATATCGCAACCATCGGATTTAGTTGGCCGATCCTTATGAAATTTGGTAGGTTGGATGAACTGACCAAAAATAGAATCTGTACCAAGTTCCAGCTTTCTATCTTCAAAAACACAAAAGTTGGGTCAATTCCGATCTTTCAGTTATATGGCAGCTATAGGATATAGTCGGCCGATCCTTATGAAATTTGGCATGTCGTAATGTTTTGGCAAAAATAGCTCTCATGTAAAATTCTCGAACTCTAAAAATACCGAAGTTATACCATTTCCGATCAATCAGTTATATGGCAGCTATAGGATATAGTCGGCCGATCCCGGTCGTTCCGACTTATATACTGCGTGCAAAGGAAAGAAGGGTGTGTGCAAAGTTTCAAGACGATAGCTTTAAAACTGAGAGACTAGTTCGCGTAGAAACGGACAGACGGACATGCTCATATCAACTCAGGAGGTGATCCTGATCAAGAATATATATACTTTATGTCTCCTTCACTGCGTTGCACACTTTTGACCAAAATTATAATACCCTCTGCAAGGGTATAAAAACAATTAAGCCTATAATTCTGCAACAAAACAATTGGAAAAGTTGGTTATCAATCCTTTGATAAATTAAATCTTTTAAGGTGTCAGCCCTGAGAAGAGATGTTTGAAAATGGCTAATGACATGGCTGAAAACCTTAAAAAATGTCATATCCAGTGTTATCGCTAAAATTTTCAAGCAAAATTTCTGATTACCCCTGATTAATTTAAATTAAATTATGTTTAAAGATAAAGTCCTGTGAATCTGTTTAATCTCGAGTTTTTTCAGGATAATTTCCCTTTACAGTTCTGAACAGAAACCCAATATCCACCTTCATATTAATCGAAAAAGGCCACTTACTTAATTATAAGTGGATTCAATATAAAATCCTTACGTGAACTATGAGTTGTAACTATGAGTTGTTGCCTTTGATTACACAATTGCTGGCGAAAGCCCAGGAGACTGGATATGTAAATGAGGGGTCTTGGCACCACGGCGATCGTCTCACATTGCCGTTTAAATATGAATTGAAATGAATTCGCTGCCAGTGGGCGGGGGCTACATATGTTATTGCGCAAACTCACGCACAAACGCACCAGTTACACCAACGGCCCCACACACATTTGCGGAAGGACATGAGCCGGGTCCTGGTCACGTTGGCTCATTTTCGCTTAATGTTTTATGCACAACTAAATACAAATGCGCTTTAATGAGCAGGACTCGAGCCGGCCATGCGGTTAATTTATTATGCAGAGCTGGGTTTCGCAGGGGGCGTGGTGGTCCGGGCGGTTTGGGCGGTAGGTGGCAGGGATAACTAATAATATGGCATTGTCGTGGCATTAAATTGCCAATATGTAGACAGGGAGGGCCCGCCACCCGGGGGACCTGCAGATAAACCGCACCAAGTCAACTCGAATGCATGTAGCAATTATTCTCGCAGGCTCCCCTGCCCTACCCCCGGCTCTAGGCTTCCCACTGCAGCAAAGTCATAAAATGCAGGCAGCACAAAAAACCCTACAAAAAGTAACATTTGCTATTCGCAACAACAACGCCGGCGTGGCATACTTTTCGGGGCATGTGGCAGGAGACTTAACCGCAAAACAAGGCCAAGCTGGAACTTGAAACCCGAAGCGTTTGAGTGCGATTGGGGAAACTGGCGTAACGTCAAAATTACCTCTGGAAACTGAAGTGCAGGAAAAACGGCCAAATGAACCAACGTGTGTGAAGTTTTGGCAATAAAATGCTCTCCAAATGCTTCAAAAATAACAGCCTCTCAATTAATAATAACATACAAAAAGCACAAAAAGACTACTTTTCAAAACTTTAAAATTTGGAATCTTGGTTTTAAAAACAATGGAACATAATGAGCTTTTTAAAAAGCATATTATATCGTACCTAACCGAAATGTAATACCTTTAATAATTCTGCTGGAAACAAATTGGCAGATTATATTGCAATTTCGTAATTTATGGCAAACGAAACACAATTTCGAGTATCAAAATAGCCCAAAAGGGGAGGAAGCCCCTACTTCCGCCCTGGACATTTGTTATGAGGACATGCCGGCCATTTGATTAACACCTTTGGATGGTACGGTCAGCCCGAAATAAAATTGCGCAGAATAATTTAAAAGTAATGCCATAGTTGGACCGAGCCAGTGGTTTCTGCTGAATCCTGCTCCTGTTGTCCCGTGTTGTGTGTGCATTTTATTTCTGTGAAATTTTGCATGCCTCGTTGGAAGCAGGCCAGGACAGCACATAAAATATATGTATATACATATATTTTTACATCCGCCATGCTATTCTGCGACTGCCTGATGTGTGCAAGTTTTGCGTGTAAGCGCTGACTAAGCCAACTAGTGCAAGTTGGATTTTCGTGGTAGATTTAAGCTGGTGAGAATATGGTCAGAACGGGTCTACTTTGCAACCACTTTTAAGCAGCAAAAAAAGGCGTGAAAACGTGATAAACATAATTATATTTAAACAGGCATGATGGTTAAAAACAAATGTGTATGAAATTCATACTATGAGTGTCTAGTTGTTGGATATTTAAAAAACAATTTTTTCTGAACACACCTAAATTTTGAATCTTTTACAGTAGCCTTGCAATTTTCTTTCCGTTTTTGAGTTTGTGTATCGGGATTTACAGATTTATGGGTTACTTTGAGCGACTTAATTTTATAGTTTTTCCCATAGATCCAACTGATTGATGGTTTAAAGCCGTTATATTAATTTTATTAAGAAGCTGTGTATGAGATGTAAGTAAGGTCCCACCTGGGAACATGGAACTGATGTGAGCGGTACGAGTGTGTTGACTCTACTGGGAAATATTTTGCCGAAAACAAAAGGTGTGAAGCTTAATTGAATTCCCAGGAAATTTGGATTGTTAAACTATTCAGGTTATTACTTTTTTAGGTTCGGATATTTACATTTCACTGTC